CCCCATGCTCCAGAGAAGGAAACTGAGGCATGGAGAGGGTCACACAGACCCTGGTCACCTGACCATAACTAGCAGAATGGGAACCCTCACTCAGGCCTGCCAGCTCCTCTGTGTCCTCCTGTCTCTCCACCCAGACTTAGTGAACACCCTCTGGGCAGGGGATGGCGCTAGGGGAGCCTGGTGGTCCCCATCCCCATCAGCTTCTAGCCTGGCTACACTGGCAGCATCTGGCAACATAAACAGAGCCGGAGAGAGAGCAGGGACTCCCACACGTCTGGCTGTTCCTTGCTGTTTCCTCTAGGACCCACAGCGTGCCTGGTGCCTGGCAGGTTTTCAAGATCCATGGGTGGATGATAAAATCCATTTAGTCATACTCTGCTAGGCAATGCTCTCACTGCTTTACATGCACTGTCTGCTCTGCTACTCATAGCGACAGCAGGACAAAGAAGCATTACTGTCCCCACTTGACAGATGAAGAGACAGAGACATAGAAAGTAGAGTCAGGGCCTGTCCCAAGCCCACGGTGAGGAAGCTGGCAAGTGGGGCTTCTATCTCCGCTGCTGCTACTGCTGAAGGGAGAGCAACCAGTCTGATAAGGACTGATGGAGACTGGGGGACCCCAAAGGGTGGCATGCTAGCTGAGCCCCGAAGGAGGAGTAGGGGTTACCTGAAGGTCAGAGCTGAGGGCGGCACAGGTCTGAGGTTGCAGCTTCATAGTCTGCAAAGAACTGAATGTTTGTGTCCCCACCCCAAATCTGTATGTTGAAATCCTACCCCCAATATGATAGTATGAAGAGATGATTAGGTCATGAGGGTGGAGCCCTTGTAAAAAAAAAAGAAGCCAGAGAGCTCACTTCCTCTCTGTCTTTTTATACTCCACTATGTAAGGACACAACAAGAACGCAGATATTGGCACACCAGGAAACGAATCCTCACCCAGACACCAGAACTGCCAGCACCTTGACCTTGGACTTCCCAGCCTCTGGAACTGTGAAAAATAAATGTTTCTTGTTTAAGCTGCCCCATCTGTGATAATTTGTTTAACAACCCAAACTGCCTAAGACAGAGTCTGAGGGTCTGGAACCCCAACCACACGCCTCTGGTAGGCCCTGGTGTCAGCTTGCTCTTTTCTCTTAGAGCCAACCGCTCTACCCTTCATGGTTTTCAACGCCTAGCCTGAATGCTAGTCTCCCCACCTCTCCCTTTCCTTGCTGCCTTCCAAACAATGCTTTGTAAAAAGTAGAAAAGAACCAACAACATGGAAGCCTGACAAAGCCCTCCTTGTTTCTGCTCCTGACCTTTAGTACCTGTACCCTTCCTGAGGGGCAACTGGATGACCCCTGGGGTTGGCGACTAAGGTCATACCTCCAGAAGTCTCTACCTCTCACTAAGACATCAGGAGCCTTTGTCCTGAGGCCTCTCTTCCCATCTCCCAGCTAGCAGGGCCCTGGGTAAACAAGCAGATGTCCCTGCTCTTCTTGGGGTGATCTGCCTTCTCAAGGCTCTCCAGACTCATCCAGGGCACAATGGGCTCTCTCAGAAACTCAGGGGCATGTCCTCAGACACTCAGAAGACCACTTAGCGCCTTGCCTGTTTCAACTGTTAGTCAGCACAACATTTTCTCTAGCTTCTTTCAGGATTCTTTTAGAAAAGGAAAAAAAAGGTTAAATTAAAAGTGCATTCAGACCAGACGTGGTGGCTCACGCCTGTAATCCTAGCACTCTGAGAGGCCCAGGCGGGCAGATCGCTTGAGGTCAGGAGTTCAAATGCAGCCTGAGCAAGAGCGAGACCCCATCTCTACTAAAAATAGAAAGAAATTAATTGGCCAACTAAAAATATATAGAAAAAATTAGCCGGGCATGGTGGCTCATGCCTGTAGTCCCAGCTATTTGGGAGGCTGAGGCAGGAGGATTGCTTGAGCCCAGGAGTTTGAGGTTGCTGTGAGCTAGGCTGACACCATAGCACTCTAGCCCGGGCAAGAGAGTGAGACCCTGTCTCTAAAAAAAAAAAAAAAAAAAGTGAATTCATTTACTGAGCATCTACTATGTGCCAGGGCCTGTGCTGGGCTCTATGATACGGAGGAGAATATGCTGTGGCCCTTGTCCTCTCCCGGGATATCACTTTGAGTCTTCCCTCTGGGTAGAACCTACACCCAACAGGGTTTCAAAAAGATGCTCCCTTACCCCTGGCAGCTCGCAGAGAGAGACTGCAACGAGAGGTGAGGCTAGAGGCAAGAAGAATCAAGCCCTAACCTTGGCAGCTGGGAAAATGCTGAAAGACCCAGGGGCCTGGGGTGGGGAGGGAAGCCTAGGCACATGACATGACTGTGCCTCAGTGCTCTCACCTGTTGGATGGGGTACTATCCACATCAGGGTGTTGTTAGGATTGTCACAACAGGGCCTGGTCTACAATAAGCACTCAGTAAGTGTCAGCCATGGCTCTTTCGTTGTCTGAAGTATAGGAGAGGGGTAGAGAAGAGTTGCCACTGACACCCAGGAAGGCACTGGCAGTCAAAGGCCAACTAACTCTGTTGGAGCGATGACTGGACAAATCTGCCCAGGAACTCCCTGTCAGCAACATGACTAACCACATGCTGGCAGACCCAGAGGTCAAAAACAACCACAGCAGGCAGGATTGAAATGATCACATGGCCAGTACTGCCAGGATGTGCGCTGGCCACGTGCAGTATGTGGCTCCTTGCCAGCAGGTGCCCCTCAGCATGTCCAGCATGGGGGCAGGTGAGAGTGGAGGTAAAGGAAGGAGAGGAGTATGGACAGAAGGCTCCAGGCTAAAGGCCCCTGTTCTTCAGCAACTTTATGCCTTGAAAAGATGGCTTTAGAGAGAAGCTTGTTAAACCTGCAAAGAATTCAAAGCCAAGAGAGGACCAAAGATCACTGGAGGCCTTGCCAACCTGGAATGCTGAGCTGAATCTAATGAGGCAAATGTGAATGGGGACAAACTGCACAAAAGCCAGTGACTCAAACCCAAGGAGGAGATCTGATGCAGCATAAGCAAGTGGAACAACACAGAGGGTTGTTTACAGCAAGTTCCTAACAAGCTTATGAAGAATACAAACTCTGAGTGGATGCCAGGAGGTTCCCGTTAGTCCTGCGGGTCCGACCTCCCTGCAGTCAGGAACTGTGGCCCGAGAAGTGATGCTGTCCAGGAGCTCAGACAAGCAGGACTGAACACAGGGTAGTGAGGCCCAGTGTCTCTCACTTCCCAGACTCTCACCCGAAACACATGACCCAAATTGATGTGGAGAAATTTTTGGATGAATCTCATTCTCCAAACTTGTGCTACTCTATAGCCCAAACTCAAACCCAGTAGATTTGGATACCAAAAGATATTTCTGTATATACAAGATAAAAATAATGACAAGAAAATTGAAATGAAGTGGAAATAAGAGTAGAGAGAGCAGATGCAGCCTGGCAGAGGTAAGTACAAGGAAAGGAGCAGGAGGCTGCAGCTTAACGTTCTGGGGCAGCCTTTGAGTATTTTGAGGACCTCTACTGCACACTGCAACTCTAAGAAAGGCTGGAGGCAGCAGAGGTACAGTGGCCAGGCAGAGAGGACCACAGTCTTCCCTGGCTCCAGGCTGCAAGAGGAGAAAGGAAACAGGACAGGAAGAATCTGCCTGCAGCTCTGCCCATACTCCTCCTCTACATGGCCCAAGGGCTGTGTGTGCCCCATCTCCACTTTACCTTCTTGCTCATTTCTCAGCCTTGTGAATCTGGAATTGGCCAAATCACTCCACCCAAAAAGCCCTTGATATGTCCCTAATGACTTCCAGGTCCCTAACGCTGATGCACACTCTTCAGTCTTTGTCTCATCTGACCTCTCAGCAGCATTAAACACCATTGTTGCTTCTCATAGCCCTGAAGTATCCTCTGCCTATGGCTTCCCCAGCCCAGCCTTCCCAGGTCTTCCCCGTGTCCTGTGGGTATTTCTGCTCTATGTCCTCTGCAGACCTGTTCTAGGCACAATGGGCCTAAGGCCTATTCTCTCTTGTTCACTACTGATTCCTGGGGGACCTTATCCACTCGTATGACTTCAGTTGCCATCGAGAAGCTGATGACTGCAAAGTGTATCTTTCCGGTCCACACAGCAAGTTCTCTCCTGGGACCCGAGGTGGTAACTTCCTGCCTCCTTGACATATCTCCTTGACATCCTAATCTCAGCAGCACATCCAGCCAAACCTGACTCAGGATCTTTGCTCTAAACTGGGTCTTCCCTAGTATAATCAACTGCTCCACCACCCATACCAGAAGTGGCAAGGCCATCCCTGCTTTCGCTCTTGCCTTCACCCCCACTTACAAGCCATCCCCAAGACCAGTCTACCTCATATCATTAAACATTTCTCAGCTCTGCCCACTCTCTCCAGGGCACTCCCTGCAAACCAGCCACCCTCATCACTTGTTTGGTTGACTGCAGTTACTTCTTCACTATGCACCACTCAGCAGCTCTTTCCCCTCCAATCTGTTCCCACACCCTCTTCCTTAAAGCCCTTGGAGGGCTTCCCAAGGCCTTAGGTGAAGATAAACATCAGTCCCATAGCCATAAGCTCTGTCCTGTCCCGGTCTCTTGATCCATCCCCAGCACATATGTCCACTTCCTTCATACTCTGTTCTATCACTCTTTCCCTTCCTTTAGGGAGCACAGTCCCTAATGACTTCCAAGCTCTTCCCACCCCTGATACTCCTCCCTTTGATCAGCACTTCCTCAGAGAAAGCTGCCCTGACTGGATCCGCCCTCTCCCAGCACCAGTGCCTTCCCCAGCTGGTGCTCATCACAGGGGATAGTTCAACGCATGCACGACTGCTCCCCACTAGACCATAAGGCTGTTAAGGCAGGGACAATGCCTGTTATGACTAGCACTGAACCCCCGATTCCTAACACAATGCCTGCCACACAACTGGTGCTCAAAATATTTTTTTTGGAGGAAAGAACATTGGTACAAAAGGAAATAGAGATGGTGTATCAGTCAGAGTTCTTTTATATTAAGAGGTTTACTTTAAGGAATTGGTTCATACAATTGTGGGGACGGACGAGTCCGAAATATGTAGGGCAGGCTGGAAACTCAGGCAGGATTTCTATGTTACAGTCTTGAGGCAGAGTTCCTTCTTCCCCAGAAAAACTCAGGTTTTTTTGCTCTTAAGTTCTTCCATTGAATGGATGAGGCCCACGTGTTATTGAAGGTAATCTACTTAAAGTCAACATTTTGTAGATGTTAGTCACTTGTACAAAATCTCTTCACAGCAACATCTAGACTATATTTTGATCAAACACTTGGACATCATAACCTAGTGAAATTGACACATAAAATGTAATCATCACAGACAGCATCAACCCCAGGAGAGGCTAACAGTGGGACAATACCATGATAAGCTTATTTTTACTTGTTGCAGGAAAGCCCAGCAGAGACACTCTATAGAGAGGTGACTGAAGAAACCTCAGTTCTGCTCCCTGGGGGCTCTGGTCTGTGGGGCCAGAGTGACTCAGCCAGAATTATAGTCTGGGGTGTCAGAGGAGGGGTGGGGGCAGGCCCCCCATTGTGAGGTCCAGGTAGAATGTTCAACTCACACTGATCGCAGCTGATCTTCTGCCCCTTCCTCATCCCCACCCTCTACCAGGAGTCTGCCCTCTGTCCTGGACCTGGACTTCACCATCCTCTCCCTGTCCTGTGAAGAGGTTTGAGAGCAGATGCCCACAGAGCCAGTGGAGGTCATGAGGAAAAGCCCTCTCTCAATATCCAAGGTCAGGTCCATGGAGTTCTCTGTAGATAGCTCTAAGATAAGGGAATACCATGAGGATTCAAAGTCCTAAGTTCTTGAAACCAGATGAGGAATGTGGTCTTGGGTTCCTGAAGGACTAAAGTCAGGAAAATTCAAGGAGCTGGGGAATAGAGATCCAGGTGCAGAGGAGGCACCACTGGGGGATTTGGAATCGGGAAACCTGAGTTTCCACCAAAAATGGAAACTCCAAGTTTCAGGGAGCCAGGTGCTTAGAGGAAGAAGCTCCTGGGCCAGCAGTGAGAGATAGCCTCTGAGCACCTGGGGTCAGAAGAAATCATGGGCCAGTGTCCAGGCATCCAAGACAGAGCATCCCCAGATCCTGACAGGCTAAATCCGAGCATGTCTAAGATCGCATGAAGGGGCACCCTGGCCAGGAAGGCAGGATGGTGAGTTTTCATTTAACAAATATTCACTGGTTACCTACCTGTGCCAAGCCCTTTGCTGGATGCTGGGGATTTCAGAAGACTGGCACAATCTCTGCCCTCCCTGTAAAGTGAGTGGACAGTGTTAAGGAGCAAACTGCATGGAACTAGGGAAAGTACTAAGACACAGGACACATCTGCTGGGAAAGCCCAGCAAGCAGCAATTCACTTGCAGTGGGCAAGCAGAGGCTTCACAGAGGAGGCACCTTGAGAGTGAAGTTGGCCAGACAGATAAGGGGTCAGGACATTTCAGGCTGAGACAAGGCCTGTGCACAGACCAGGAGGCACGGAGAGCTGAGCCTGTTAGAGCAGAGAGGGCAAAGAGGAGGGCCCAGCCTCTGACCTCACAATACCCAGGGCCCACTGGGCCAGCCTTGCAGGCTCTGTGCCCTCCTTCAGCCCGGGCAAGGCCCGGGGCCCTGGGCAGCCTCCCGGTGCAGTGCCCTCCCGTGGGCCGCACCCTTCCCGCTGCCCCGGGGTATGTCTCTACTCACCAATTATGAGGGGCTTCGGCATCAGATAGAGAGACTGGTGCGGGAAAATGAGGAACTAAAGAAGTTGGTGCGGCTCATTCGGGAGAATCACGAGCTCAAGACTGCGATCAAGAATCAGGCATGCAGCCTCGGCATCAGTGGGTTCACCAGCGGGCTTGGCGAGGTGGCAACAGGCCCTCCTTCACTCCAGAACAACTGTAAGAGGCCTGGGTCCAAGGAGAATGGGGAGGGAAGGGTGAGGCTGCACCACAGGGGAGAGACTCTGCATGCTGGGGTCTCAGTAAGTCATACAGAGAGTGCATAGATAGTAACAAACTTGGGGGACACTGGCCCTACCAGATGAGAGTAGTGTGAGAACACAGAACCATCAGGAGAAAAAGGCAAAACTATCCCCCAATCCCATTCACCAGATGGCAGAGGCCCCTGCCCACACTCCTTCCCTCAACTCAATTTCCAAGCAGCTCCAAAGACAGAATTTCCCAGCTCTGGAATCCAAATGTGCTGTCCTACTGGGTCCAGTATGTCACTAACCCTCAGCCTCTCCACCCCTGACCCCTATCCCTTACCATTAGCACCCCATCTTTCTCCACCCTTACTCTCCAGTTAGAGATGGCCAGTAGGCAATTGACAACCCAAGACTAGAAGCTGAAAAGAGAAACCAGGACTGAAGTTTGAGGTTTGGGAGTTTGTTAACATGTGTCAGAAGCGCTGGGGCTAGAGAAGATTTACAGAATAGAGTGAGACAGAAGAATGGGCAAAGAAATTGCAGGTGTTTGCAGAAAAAGGGTTGAAATGATGATCCTTGGGTTAGGCCTGGAGGGTAGAAACTGAGGCTAGGAGGGTACTCAGAGGCTGGGAGACCAGAGGCTGTACAGCTGAGTATGGAGACAGGAACAAGGGAGGTTCTGGAAGAATGGAAAGCTGTAGGCAGAGAGTGGTCAGCATTGAAGATATCAGAGGGAGAAATTCTGGTGGCAGAAAGGCCCCAGGGTGTGGCCACAGGAGTCTGTGGCTGACATGGTGTATTGGTGAAGGTTACCAAGAACAAAAGCAGGTGACGAAACGCCAGTGGTTGTGACATCCACTTCCCTCCTACAATGTCCTTCCTGTCCTGGAGAAGGCTATGTTCTCTCCTGTCCAAGGTGAACTTCTCCATGTGTGCTCAGAACCCCCCACCCCCTGCAGCAACCTGCTCCCTGTCACAGGCCTTGCGCCTTGCCCTCCCTGCCTGGCCCTCTCCTCTGTTCACCATCAGTCATGAAACCTTCCTCCTTCCCTGAGAGGATGACTCTGCTCTTTCTGCTCTCTGCCTATTTAAGCCTCAACAGCTTGGCAATTGACCCCAATGCTGCTGTTCTAGATAGGTCACAGGTGGCCTCCCAAGTGCTGCATCCTTCTCCACCTCTGTATGGCATCTAAGACTGATAACTCTCCTCCATGCCCCTCTTTCTGAGTTCCAGCCGGTCACCCACCCCTCTGGCTCATCTTAATCACTGCTGCTCCCAGCCTCAGGGTTCAGGTTCTGCCTCTCCACCTTCAGCCAGCCCACCCACTGTGTGGCTTCAAAACTCTACTAGAGGTGAAGATCCCCTCAGAAGATCCTGCAGGCCCAAGAAGTCATTGGAACTTAGCTCACTTCAAACTAGACATGTTGCTAAGAACTTGGGCCTTTGCTGTAGGATGCTAAAGCCCCTCAGGCCTGTGTGTGTGCTCACTCCCCTGCCATTTTACTTCCCTGCTTCCTACCCACTGGCTTCCCTGCCATCCAACCTGAAAGTGGCGTGGGGCTGGCCTTCCATTCCCCCTTATTGATCACAAGCATGCAGGCCTCCCTGGTTTTAAATGTTATACCTCTAGTGACATGGAGACAACAGACAGGGTGACAAAAATAATACATATTGGGGAGATATAACATTTAAGAAATCACACAGTTATGCTAGACTCTGGTTTCCTACTCCTAGGCTAACCAAGCAAGCCTTATCTAGGTTTGATTCTTAAGGGAATCCTTGGACCACTTCAGATCTTCCAACTCCCAAAGGGTCAAGTCTTAGGAAAGGCTTTCTGGAGGAGGTAAACCCAGCCAGCTGGTTGTGATGGGGTAAGGAGTACGCCGGGAGAAGGAACAACTTGTATGAAGCTCTGGCCTTGGGGACCACAGGAATGAGAAACAGATCAGTGACGTTAAAGCCCAGATTCTATGTGTATGTGTGGTGTGGTATGTGGGAGTATGTGGTGTATATAGAGTATGGGGATATGTATGTGTGAGCATGTGTATGAATGTGGTGTGAGAGTATGTGTGTTACATAAGTGGGTAGTGTGATGTGTATATGTGGATTGTGTGGTGTGGGTGTGTGAATGATTCGGATGTGTAGTGTATGTGCATATGAGTGTGTATGGCTGTGTGTGAGTGAGCTGTGTGTGGAGCGGGTGCATGGAGAATGTACATGAGTGTGTATGAGAGTGTGTGCTATGTGTGCTTTTTTTTTTTTTTTTTTGAGACAGAGTCTCACTTTGTTGCCCAGGCTAGAGTGAGTGCCGTGGCGTCAGCCTGGCTCACAGCAACCTCAATCTCCGGGGCTCAGCGATCCTCCTGCCTCAGCCTCCCAAGTAGCTGGGACTACAGGCATGCGCCACCATGCTCGGCTAATTTTTTGTATATATATTTTTAGTTGGTCAATTAATTTATTTCTATTTTTGGTAGAGACGGGGTCTCGCTCAGGCTGGTTTCGAACTCCTGACCTTGAGCAATCCGCCCACCTCGGCCTCCCAAAGTGCTAGGATTACAGGCGTGAGCCACCACGCCCGGCCAGCTATGTGTGCTTCGAGATAGTATGTGGTGTATGAGTAAATGTGTGCATATGACTATGTTTTTGTGTGTGATAATGTATGAATGTTTTTAAGTGTGTGTATGGTATGTATGAATGTGTATGTTTTATGGGTGTTTGAGTGTTTATGATGTATGTCTGATATTGGGAATGTGAGTGTGTTGTTTATGTGAGTGTATGTGGTGTGTGTGTGGAGTGTTTGCATGTATTGAGGGCCAGTAAGAGGTGAACGATGCAGCTAGGGGTCAGCAGGGGTCAGATCACCATGGACTGCAAATGACACAGCAAGGAGCTTGGACTTGTGGTTTCTAACAGGAAGTAATCATATTTTCACTTCAGAAACATCATTCCAGCTACTGTAGGGGAAATGGAGTAGAGGGAGATAAGACTGAGGCAGGGAGATGGGTTACACTGAGGCTGTTGAAGTAATCCAGGTGGGAGATGATGGCATGAACTACAGGTGGAGAGAAATCCATTCCAGTTATTTGTTAAGAAAATGGAAACCCTAACTGTTTGGTTGTAAGGGATGACAAAGAGAACATCCAGAGTGTGTCTGCTGTCCCAGCTGGGGTGACTAGGAGATTTCTCAACTTGCCATTCCCAGGCCCAGACAAGGTGGATCCATGTAGTTGCCTCCGAGGATCATTCTTTGGCCATTTCCTCACCCTGCTTGTTCCCCCTGCCCACCCAATCCTTGTGACTGCCCTTCTTCATAGAGTCAGGCTCTTATTCTAGATGTGGGTATTAGTGGGAAGTACTTGGGAGATATGAGCAAAGCTTGGACTTGTGGGCTAAGGATGCTCATAAGTGTGTGCACCAGGCCCCTTGCAGTATAGGATCAAGCCCAGATGGGAAGAAAAGAGGTGCAGAAGGAGGGGTTGGGGCCAGAGTGCCAGCTCTCCCCAGGCTACCACATCCTGGCACAGAGTTCCAGGGAGCACAAGAATTCTAGATTCAAATTTGACCTTCTAATTTTTAAAAAGGTTTATTTGTCAGAGTAAGAAAATAGAATGTGGCCGGGCACAGTGGCTCATGCTTGTAATCCTAGCACTTGGGAGGCTGAAGTGGGAGGATGGCTTGAGGCCAAGAGTTCAAGACCAGCCTGGGCAACACAATAAGACCCTGTCTCTACAAAAAAATACAAAAATTAGCCAGGCCTGGTGGCATGCTTCTATAGTCCCAGCTACTTTGGAGCCTGAGGCAAGAGGATCACTTGGGCTCAGGAGCTTGAGGCTGCAATGAGCTGTGATGACGGCACTCCAGCATGGGTGACAGAGTGAGACCCTGTCTCCTAACAAAAGAAAAAGAGAAAGAAAACGTAACAGCTTGAGTGGTAACTTTTGACTACTCTGATATATGGTATGTGGGCCTCCATTTGTGCTCTTGCCCACAGCAGTGCAAATGTTAGACATGAGTCTGGGAGAAAGAAATGCAGTTTTGGAGGAACAAATTGAGTTGTATTTTGGACAAACTGATTTTAAGATATCCACACAATATCCACATGGAATGTCCAAGAAGCAGTGGCACTATGAGCCTGAAGCTCAGATGAGAGGTCAGGGCTAGAGAGAAAAGATTCAAGAGTTTTGATAATTCAAGCCCCTCTGGGTGGGTTGGAGAGGTCAAGGTGAGACCCTCTGGGAAGACAGTGTACAGTAAGAAGAGACTGAGGGACAAGTCCTGAGTGAGGACAAGTAGAGAAGTTGGCAAAGGAGCATCCAGAGAGGAAAGGGAAACCTCAAAAGTGTAACATCAAAAAAGCCAAGAGACAGCTTCAAAGGAATCAGAGAGTCAAGGCACCAACCTCGTGCCTTCTGCAGCAGCATTTTTCAGTCTGGGGGCAGGCATAGAGGAGGCAGGCAGGCAGAGCTCTGAGGAAGGCTCAGCCAGAGTTTAAGCTCATCAAAGACTGCACTGGCTGAGGGAAGCCAAAACCAAGAAGGCTGTCAGATGGGGAGAAAATAAAGAGGCCAGTGTACTAGAGATCTGGAGAGACTAGAAGACCAGGTGGCCAGGAGCAACCTTCTGTGCAAGCCAGAAGTACAACTGTGTGGCCAGAATGGGTAATCTGAGTGGCAGGAAATCAGAAAATGTTGGCTCTTGGCCAAATTAACTTCACTGGGAAAAAACAGGCGCCCAGAGGTTCAGACTTGGCCCTGTGCACAGGGCAGGAGCAAGAAGGTGCCAGGAAAGGGCTGGGCCTCCTGCCCCTGAGGGCTCGAGTACTTGCTGAGAGCCACACGCTGGGAAGTCTCCCCACAGAAGCAGTGGGGGAGACAGGGCTGTGGGAGTAGGGAGGAGAGAGGACATGAAGGCCTAGCTGAGTGAGCACTGAAGACCCCTAAAAACAGTAACTGCACCTAGAACTGGCTCCT